TGAAGGACGAAGTCACCCGTTCCATATTGTTTTCAATGGCATATCTCAAAAGGGTTGAAAACGGTGCAAAAAGAAAAGACGAGTAGCAGAGCAGACAGTGATCGTGAAGGAATGGTTAAGGTATGACTACTCAGTCTAATTCTATTTTATTAGTGTATTTACTAAGCAAGAACATTCTAATAGGTTAAAGAAAATAAGTGTGAACAAGGTTTGAGCGGATAAACAACTGAAAATGGAGGTGGTTCAGAAAGGAGCTGAAAGCATGGGATGTGTAGTTATAAAATATAGTGCTAAAAACAGTATTATGATGAATTAATGGCTGGCTCTTTTTTGTCAAAACTATGGGAGCCCGTTTTTGGATTTTATAGGGTCTTGAGTAGACTTCGTTTTTAGCGATTTGTCTAGTTTGCTTGTAACATGATTTCTGGCAGGAAGTGAAACCAAATCAACGTTCTAAACACGATTTAATGAGTTACTGCGCATAATAAATCAGCATCAACGCAATGAGTTCGTAACATTCCACGTGATCATAAGGAGCTGTAGTTAAACAAAAAGTTCTACTCTACAGACATGAGTGGATTGAAGCCATCTGCGTACCATCATGTTCGCTGGTCAGTAAAGACACCCTCCCTCCGTTTGTGATGTGAGGCTCTCTTATGTTTGTGATAAGTATGAATACTGCCTTAATCAAATCCCATAGTTGGAATACACTGCCTCTACTAGTTCCATGTTACAAGCAAATCATATAATCAAAGCATTTGTATTATGGGTTAGATATCCATTTAGTATACCACACTGCTATGAAGATAACTAATGGTGAAAGTTAAAAACAAAAATGAGGTTAGATTATATGTGGTTTAAATATAGTAAGGACCAATAGCGAATCAAAGTATATGAGAGTATTAAAATTGTAAAATTTTCAGGGTAAGAAAAATAAAACATCAAGTAACTCACAAGACTTTAGGACATTTTGAGCTTCATATGATCCATAAGATTAGTGAGTTATCTGTCTACATGCAAAATAAAAAAGGACATGACTCTTAGGAAGAATAATTTATATTTAAACAGTAAAGGAATTTCGTAACTGGAAGTGAGGGTTAGGAGCATAAGGCTATGATTAATAAACAATGAACAATAGGAATCGATAAACCACATGTTCTGTAATTTGGTTATGTTAATGTCAACGCTCAGGTTCAATTCGAAAATTCCTGTGCAGTTGCAGATGAAGCTTTCATCAATGCAGTTAGTGTGGATCGGTTGAAATGTCCGAGGGTACTGTTTTGATTGGATATAAATTTGTCGATAAGCTTTATCTGGCACTGAAGCCTGTCTTCTCGCATTGCCTTTGTGCATATGCTCCTGATGTTTGTATTGCCTGTTCGCGCCGTTGTTATCAATGCGTTTGTATTCAGCACAACAATGCCTTGTGCGGCTTAGCAAATGACGAGTGCGGTTCATGATGACTCTAGGTTGTTTGTAGGTTTGAGGACCGTTTCAGGAACAGACTGCTTTGTATCATGTTCATTAAGATATCCCAATGAGCATCCACAAAACGTTAAGGTTGAATTTCCCAACCCACCTGTTGTAGGTTGTACTGCAAAGCTGACACATTCAACCGCTTGAAATTTCAGCGCGTGTTGTTAGCGGGATGACTTAGCTCAGTTTTGCCGATAAAACTCAACACTATGACGAAGTGATCACTTTTCTTAATGAGATCCAAGATTGAGTGGTTTTCACTTAGGATTTCTTCATTTGTAAGTACCCAATAAAAGTGCGACGGAGTCTGACTGTTTCTCAAACGAGTTGCCGACATCGCATATTCGAACAAACCCAGATTCTCACTGAGGTTGAAGAACCGAGCTCCAGTTGAGTTTTGACCTCCAATATATGCATGTTCCGCGAAAATGACTGTAGGAAGATTGAAGTCCCCAAGAATGAGGATATTAGTGGATGCCTTGCAGCATACAATTATCGTCCCCAAATTCAGCAGTGAACTTACTGTAGATGCCTCAAACTGGGCACCACGAGGTGTTAAACAAAAGACTTCCTGGGTACAGCTAGTTCTTCTTCTGTAAATTGGTAAGATATCCATGTTTCAGATATTCCTATCAGATGAGCATTATTAGCATTGCTGAGCTTACGCAGCTCATCCATTTTATTCAGTAAACTAGCGGCGTTCATGTATAAGCAGTTTATGCTTTCAATTTGAAACGCGTGAGCTTCCCCGTCCTGCTTGTCTGTATGAGTCTTATGTGGATGGACAGGAAGCCTACCTATGCAAGGTTTTCAGAGTTGGTTGCCCCTGTCCTCTCCACGTTTTTTATGTAGAGTGGACAGCTTCAACTTGCATTTGTGCTTGATCCTGGCCTCATGTAGCCGATCTGAATTAATGTGGATTCCAGTTCGCAACCGATTTCTGTTGTCACGAAATGTTTCCATAGTTGCAGTCGCTATATGGAAGTATGAGAAGGTTATCTTCATCAGCCGGGGTCTAGAACCACCATCCTTCTTGTCTAGTCTCGCCAATTGTCAAGTCAGTATCTTTTTGAGCCTCAAGGTTTGCTTAATGAAATTCCACTCTCTAATATCACAGTTTGTGTGGCCGGGGTCTGTGTTTTCTGGTAAACCTTGCACAATGATATTTATTTAGCGGAAAAACTTTTCGCAAGATTCATCATGGATGGTCCAGGTGATATTGTGGTCAGGATACGGTATATCAGGCAGTATTCTTACATTCCCGTCGGATTTCAGTAAGTGACTAGATAGTAGGATATTCTCTTCGTCGGTGGCGTTAGTGAATGTTACACGATGTAGCCTTGGGTGATTTTGATGCTTAGAGTTGAATGACAGTCTTCTGTTTTTGAAATTCATAATTCTTCATATCCCTCAAAAAGATATTAAAGTCCAAGAAAGTTTCAGGAACTAAGGTTTCCTTTAATCTAATTGTATGTGAATACACAAAAATTATCCAATTTACATCTATAAGTCAGTCATTATTAATATTATTTTTATTATTCACAAACATCTTGTGGATACAAAAGTGTTATGAAGAAACCATTTCAGGTTTCTCCAGAAATGCAATAATACACAAGTTTCAATAATGTTAGCATTATATTTGCCATATTTGAAAAAGAGAATAATAACAATAATAATAAATTAGGTTCTGTGTAATTGAGAAGAATATTGAATTGATTTTAAAGAAGGAAACGGAGAAAAGAAGTGTATAGAAATGAAAAAGATGCAAAATACGCAAACAGTTTAATAAGCGTTAATGAACACAGAACAGGAATTAAGGACTATGTATGTATCGTCAAATTAGTGACAAAAATAAAATAGGAAATAATTATGTAAAATTAACATAGTATTGCAGTAAGATGTGATGCTAGAATAAAAGTTTTTGCAGTCATAGTTTGGAGTGATGCTAGGAAAGTCTCAATTAAATGAAAAGGATAACCAAATGTCAGTATATATGAGCCATATGTAGCGGTTATCGAAATCTCAGAAGAAACAGTTCTGTATGTATTCAATATTGCAGATGACCTCATTAATTTTCTTGAGACATACAAGCTGAATACACACAGTCAGGCAACCGCAACAGATCACGAGTGGATGCACTTTCTACACACACCATGTTAATACCGGCCAGTCTAGATGAAAAAATCGTCAACATATCGACAATTTTTCACTCTCACCTTTGAACCCACTCATCTCCGATATCTGATTTGACTGGATTAGCGTCCTTAAATTATAAATGTGTAACAGATTAAAGTATTGTAAAAACTTGAATATCTGTTTCATCTTTTGGGTGAATTGGTCAAATGTCATGCGAGGAACCTGTACCTAGATGCACGAGAAAGAAGTAAATATGGACAACTTGAGTTCAAGTTGCCGTATCTGTCGCCTCCAAGTAATCACCTGATAATTCAATACTTTTGTTCATTAACCATAACGAATTCATATTAAATTTTATTGACTGTTTGTGGTTAGGATACATTTTATTCAACGAGAACAATTGTCGGTTGATTTTATATCACATCAACATTTCAAATTCATACCATTTATCCTATCACACTTTCATACATATACGGCGTAAATGGAAAAAAGTACGATTTTATGTTTGCTAACTGCTGGGCGGAGGGGGATTTGAGAAATCATTTCCAGTTATGATTGTCCAGATTTCTTAATCTCACAAAATTGTGAAATATGGGTTGATTGGACCATTAAGCCTTAATGTATCTCTTGTGATCTCCAGTTCGTTGCCTCGTGATTTGTTCGGTTACAACGTTCCTCACTGACGCCTTCTAGCACTCAGGATACCTTCAGGCTAGATGAAATCCGCTAGGTTAGAATACATTCCAGCTGACAAAAGTCAATCTGTGAGATACTTCTGATCTTTGAAACCTAATAACTAAGGATGGGCTAGTAGATAGGTATCTAAAGCAATATTTCAACGATGCTACTCCGTCGCTGTTTACTAAGCAATGTCAAACAGTGCAGACATATCTTCGTGTTAGTCAAATTATACAGGTCTGATAGAAGAACTTAGAGGAACATGAAATTATGTTCACAAGAGTCCTGGATGAAAGCTGACATAAAAATCAGAGAGATAAACCAAAAGAATGTTGATAATGTCAAAAAAAGATATAAGACGGATTTCAAGAGTAACGATTTTGGTAAAATATAACCATGAAATCATCTAACGTCTTTGTATTTCCAGGTGTATTTAGTTTTAGTTATGAATACACACTTGGTTCAATCTTGCAATCCGACCCCAAAAACTTATTTTAGACATGAACTGTGGGAGGTATGGAAGCGTACGTTAATAACAAGAGTTAAAAGAAAAGGAACTCGGTTTTTAGAAGAGTCCAGCTTCCTTCAAAATGTAGGATGCAAATAAAACATTTTGAGGTAGTGGTGTTAGTAATATTTACTAAATAATCAGAATTAGACTTGTTAATTAGTTTGTGCTGATTGATATATAATTGATTTATTCTTCACCACGGTTTTTGATATGTGAAGGTCGTCAATGATGCCGCCCTGGGTGAATATTGTTGATTTACCTGTTCAGCTAGTTGAGCAAGTTTTCAAGTATTTAAGATACGAAGAAGTTTCTAAACTGAGAGAGGTACTGCTTTGTATGTTATGTAATATCTCTAGACATGTAGATTTTTCGACTTTGTATGCCGCGGCATTCTTAACAAAGGATTTAAGACTATTGAGAGAATGGTTGTATCCTATCATTCAGAACTTCGTTCTCTGTTGCCACGACGTGAATCTGAGCGTCGAAATCACCTGCTTAACAGGTTTGATTCAGTTAAGTTATGAATTTGCCTAGACACTGTGAAACTCTGTCTGCGATCGAGACACGTCTGTCTCTTTTGAAAATGAGTATCATGCGCTATGCAGACAAAGATCGCTGTTGTTTTTTCCCCGGAAAGGTTCTTGATGAAATGGAAGGTGTCTGTCGGTTCATACGACTGAATCAAGGTGTTCCGATAAGACCATATGATATATTGCATGAACTTCGAGATATATCTTCTATGGCGATGGAGCATTTTGAAGAAAACATCCTTCCATCTCTGCATCTGAAGTCAGATCTTGGTAAGAAGGTTTTCTTTTCTAGAGCTTTGTGTTATTGCTATGGTCCGGTAGGTTAATCGTATTGTCACTTGCTATTAATTTTTTTAATATCTACTTTTTAAAATATCGTCACTACGATTCCCTGGACTTGGTTTTTTGGCGAGACTCTAGTCTATGAACAACCTTTGAACGAATCTTAAGTGACTTTGTGAAATATTAGCCAATCAGCAAACAGTCAGTGTGGAATAAAAATATATTATACAAAACCAAGGAAATAAAGTGGATACACTTCTTATACGTGGTTCAAAAACTTTTCAAGGTTAGTAAGGGGTTCATAGGTTCTAAAATCGTAATGCATGCGGTAGAGGAAATCATCCATATGGCTACAGAATAGTCGGCCGTTGGAGTCATGATAAGGTCGAAAAACTGTTTTAGCCTCGACCACATAGATTCAATATTGCTTATGTCTGCTCCATTTGTTGAGAGCACAAAATGCCACTTGTGGATAACGACACGATGCACAACCAAGCCTAGTTAGGAGTCTGTATGCCCTACAAACATCCGTATATATTGTAATACTGTGGTGTGTGCTACTTATATTGTCCCCCACTTATGTTCTTGTTCACTACATTTGATGTCGCTGCCAACCAGGGGGTGTAGTTCCGCGAACGCCGTTGCAGGCAGAGCTGAGGTGCTAGTTAGAGCAGTCTGGTGCGGAGAGGTGGCGCTGAGTGGGGTGCTCTGGCGGGGCGGCGCTGGTTGTAGCGGGTACTGTCAACGAAGAGTAGCGGTGGGACGTGCAACTGCTGGGCGGACATCGGATGTAGACGGCTCAGCAGGCCGGTGGAGCACATGTGTTAAGCGCTTCAGGCGCCGGGGTGATATCGGATGTGGTTGCCTCGGCAGGTCATCGGATATATAGAGGTCAGCGGTCGCAGACTCGACATTTTTATGGAGAGCGTAGCACAGACTGCAGAGACGAAGAATGTGGCACGGCGAGCTCGAAACACCGCAAGAACGACTGCTTCGAAGGGGGGATGAGTGTGGTGTGTACTACTTGTATTGACATAAGTAGTATATGATATTAGTCGTAAACAGAAGGTCTGGCAGCTAAGAGACAAGAAGATCGAACAGTAAAGAATGGAAACAGGATGCAATTTGTATGAAAATGCAAGAAAAATGAAGTCTGAGTCATTTTGAGACAATTGGTAGACATTTTGCTAATTAAGCATTTACTTTATGATTGTTAGATTTTATTAACAAGTCCTGTAATTTTGTGTTAAATACATTCGACTGTCCCCACCCGTGTTCTGTCCGCTACAGTACCCGGTTGCAGCCAGTGTTACTGGTGCTTTTATTATCCAGTTCGCGATAATTTTCGTAATTTGCCTTAGTTAGGGATTATATATGGGGTTTTCATCACGAACTGACATCAGCTATAATGCCAGAAGTTTATTTAGCCAAATACATAAAAGGCTTTCGCGTTAAATTTCGAGATCTATTATCTTATACCTGTGTGATTCGTCCACAAATTATAGACTCGCTGTTTTATTTGTTATGGCCGCTCAATTATCACGTTTTGTACAAAATTCCCTGTGAACCGATCGTACGTTGACATTAAGCACTGAAGTTGGCGCTGTAACCTTGAAATCTCTAAACCGCTTCTGAGTGGCTCGTCCATAAATTGGAGTCTCGCTGATTGTTTGGTTTTCAGAATGACATAATAAAAAGGAATATGTATTGACTCAAGAATTTCAATTTTGTTCTCGCTATTTCCTCCAACTATTACCGTACAACTAATCGCACTCCTGTAATTATTAGTGAAACAACCAATATGATGTTATTTGGAAGCCAAGTGTTGTATATTGTGTTTTTAATATAAATACGTAGACGATTGTTGTGTGTGAGTTAGTCAAAGTTTTCAGTTACCGTTATGGTTAGTGATGATTTTACACAAAAGCAGTCGAACTGGTATTGTAAATGTTGGCCAATATCTGATTCTCGAAGTCCGCTGTTATATGAGGATTGTCCCCATAGATATTTCATGTGAGCATCGAGTTCCGCGTCCATATCCCGTACAGTTGTAAAAAAATGTGTAGTACTAAGTGGTAAAAACTCGGGTACGGTACTTTTTTCGTATTTGGTAAAGAAAAAGAATGGATTCATATTCGATTAAGTCATAGTTACAATCAAGTCTGAAATTGGACTCGTATTAGCAAGAAAACTGAAGGTCAGTGAACCACTGTTTCATCAATTGATCTGAGCGTTAACACGTTCATTTTCATACATTACTTATTTAGACAAATTGATTTTATGAAAGTACAATATCTATCATTTAAGTAATTTCAATGCTTAATTGGCACTAGGTAACTCGTGGTTATCATCTGAATTATCAAGCCCTTCCATTAGTCAAGCTCGAGGTCCTATACCATTAGACGAGCTCCGCGCAGTTTCAACTTTCAAACGGCATCAACTAAACCAGTTAGCCCAACATTCATGTCAACTCGCTAATACGGTGAGTCCCTTTATATTTCCACTAAAATTTATCTACACTCAATGGCTAATCATTGATTTCGAATATACAGGATTTTCGTTGTCTTTGTTTCGTAGATCTCTATGATCATAAACATTTTTTGTTTATTCATCTGTTATTTTTGGAACCACTCATAATCACAACGTTATTTAACTAGCGTTATTTTGTCTCATTTATTTATTTATTTAAACACGTAAACATTGGTACAAGGAGGCACCAAATATATATACACCACACTTCGTTATTCGATTTGTGTGAGGAATGGAATACCCTCACATGGTTTATGTACTTCTGAGGTACGCCTTTCAATGACAGACACTGCCACAGAACTGCTCGGTCTACAGAGTCAAATGCTGCTTCTAAGTCAAGAAAGACCACCATTGTTGGACACCGATAAGCATGCCTGTGTTCAAGAACTTGACGAATGGTGAATATGTAATCAATGCAGCCACGATCATATCTGAAGCCAGCCTGATTCGTGTTTGCAGTTTACGAGTCTTAGTTAGGCGCTCGATAATTATTGAGGCTAGTATTTTAGATGCTATATTAGTCAAACTAATCCCTCTATGGTTATCACAGGATGATTTTGACCCCTTCTTATATTTCGCGACAATGAGTGATTGTGACCAGTCAGATGGGATAACGTCATACTCCCAGATTTCAGCTAAAATACTAGTCAACTTAATCGCTAAAACTGAACAACCATCCTTAAACACCTCTGGACCCAATCGATCTGGGTCAGCTGCTCTTTCTCGTTTCAGATTAACTATAGCTTTTTGAAATTCAGCTAGAGTCGGGGGACCTACTTTAATGTTCCATTCAGACTCTCTGGAAATGGAGGGTAGTTGTAGAGTAGCTGAAGACCAGCTGAACCGCTCCTCAAAGTGTTCCGCACATCGTTCTAAACGTCTGAACTGGGAGCAGATAAGAGTGTCGTATTTTTTTGAGATAGCCTTACTTACACTTGACTTTTTAGTTCCAGTTTATTTTATTAGTCTGTAGAGCTGTCTTGTGTTCACTATAGCCTCTGCCGTTTCTATCTCTTTTGCTTTCGATGCCCACCACTGCTCACGTTCGTTCCTTAGACTTTTGCTTAACCTAGATCTGATTCGCTTTCGCTCTATCGTGTTCAGAGCCTCTGCCAGGGGAGTCCTACTCACTGTTTTCTCGTAGCGGGGGTGTTGTTTACAAAAATGAGAGGACGAAAAGCGAATGTCCGGCGCTTTAACCGGATTCCAAACCAATGGTGCACATGGGCTCCAGTATCCTGCGGGAACAAATGGCGTATGAACCAATTGTTGGTCACCGGCTTCCATGGGACTGCATCTCCTCACGATGCTCCACTGCCTTGTGGACCAGACCTTCAGGTCGAAGGCTCGCGGAGTGGCCCCCACGCATGTATTGGGTGCCCCCTTGTACCAATATTTATGTGTTAAAATAAAATAATGTTCAGAGCCTGGTGGGATGAGTTTACGAGAATCCATCAGTGCCATAGACCTTGAAGAAATCAATTGGTTCTTTGTAACCCTGTAGTTTAAATCACTAATAGATATCACTGCTGTTTCCACAGCTGCTTGTATATCTTTCCAAGCAACATATGGGTCAGCCTCGTTTTCAGAACTACCTAAGTGTGACCTCACTTTTTCCTGGAATCTATTTTCGGCTTTCTCACCACTTAATTCTAATGGGTCTTCTTAGGGTGGCTTTCCTGCGTGTAGTTCGGTGCAAACAGACACGTGCCCGTATAAGAGCATGATCGGAGTTCAAACAGGTATACCAGAACGAGCGACAATCTTCTGTTGACCCTCTCCAACGATGACTGATGGCAATATGGTCTATTTGAGTCCATCGTTGGTTTGGTGCAGGGGGTCGCCATGTTAGACGATGTCTGTCCTTATGTTTAAAATTTGTGTTTGCTAAAAATAAATGATTGTCTGAACACAGTTGCAGCAGACGATCACCATTATTTGTTCGCCGTGCCGGAATACTAAAATACCTACATAAACGTCTTTCTGCTTGGTTTAAGCTACCTACTTAGGCAATAAAGTCACTTGCTACAAGTTCTATGTCTGAGCGTTTAGCTTTCTGAAGAAGTTCAGAAAGCTTTCTGTAAAAGTCATCTTTAACTTTATCCGAGCTGCAGTCAGTGGGTCAGTCAGTCAGTCAGCTACAACATAGGACCAGGCACATATATGCATCGGTCCAGGTTGCCATACCTCGTTAGCACAGCAAGATGAACACCGGATTCATGGGAGTGGTTAGGTTAAAGGTGGTAATATGTAGGAGAAAGATTGCATATAAGGATACAGTACCGGAATATAGAATTAGTTCGTAGAAAGAAAGATATGAAGCGATTTTAATCTTTTAGTTTAAGGGAAGACAGGGAGTGTATGCACCGACGCCATTGTGATCGATTTTGAGCCATGTCACCAAGAGTCTCCAACCATCGGTTACGAAAGTCACGCGGACCCCGACCAAGTAGTCTGCATCTACCAACATGGCTCAGACTAGAGGTTAGTGTCTTCAAGCACTGATGCCACGTTTTGGTTTGGCCGCCCCTCATTCTCTTCCAACCATCTCTAACACCCGTTAGCATTGCACGACGTGGTAATCGGTGTTCAGGCATACGTAACATGTGGACCAACTATCTCGGTCGATAAAGATTAACAACCTCATCAACTGATTTACCATCATTACCTAATACCCTGCGTCTAACCTCACTATTACTTACCCGGTGATCCCAACAGACGCCAGCAGTCAGTGGGAGCGTAGGAGAAACGACGAAAAGGTAACGACGTATGTCGCTGGTTATCCATGGTGATACTTGGGGAGGAAGCCAGAAGAGGAAGTTTAGAGTTGAAAGTCGATATAGGAGGAATAATAGGAAATGAAGAGGCAGGTTGATTATGAATACAGTGGTCTTGAGTGCTGTTAGAGGTGAGGGTGATTATCACTTCACAGTTGCCCACAACACGGAAGGGTTCTTCTGGAGGTACCTCGAAAGGGAATTGGACTAGAAGTGGTCTCAGTGACCTGAGCGAGGGACCGCTGTACCAAGGGACAACTACTTGAGGTCGGTCACACACGGCCTTTTTGTGAGTAATTTTCTTGTTAGCTCCGTACTTGTTAAGACATTACCGCCAGAGACGGATATCCGCAGGATAAGGCGAGGTGTGCATTTCTGGGGTCGAACTCTTCTAACTCCACCCCTCCTTGTGGGAAGGCAGCATCGCTGTCATGCTAGTTGTCTGAAGGAAACACCTTACTGCCGTTACATCTCTGTACAGTCAACAGTTTGACTTCGCCCTCAGACCTTGGGTTTGCGCTGCTTTTAGTTTAACTGTTCTTCAACTGACCTGTCTGGCATAGTAGGACCTTGAGGAACGATTGTTTTAGCCAGTATAGCTCGATTGGTTCATCACGATGAGCAAGCCTGACCACCACGTCGGGGTAGAAACAACGGTCGGGGCCAGTTCACGAGCCTTTGACCTACAGGTATAATCCACGAGGGAGTGGAGCAACGAAATGAACTTCACCCCATGGTAGCCGGTGACCAACAACAGGTTCATACGCCTTTTGTTCGCTCAGAAAACTGGAGCCCATGTGCACCATCGGTTTGGAATCAGAGTTTTACAATTTTTCTAGGCGGGTCCTTCATATTCACCAACCCAGATAACGCACCGGACATTCGTTTTCTGTTCTTTCAACTTCGTAAACAACACTCCACCGTGAGAAGGCAGTGATTAGGACTTCTCCATAATACATCATAACAAGGTGAGATTACTTAGGTGAATATAAATGGAATCGAAATAATAATAGTATTTATGATGAATAAACAGCAAATTGTTGTTTTATAAGGAAATATGTCTCAATAATTGTTGAGGTTTAGGATCTAAAATACAGGGAGTGAGTGGGTATGCACCACTAAGACCGAATCTAATCAATGTCTCCAAACCCTGATCGTTATTGTCACTCGGAATCTACTAAGTAGTCTATCAATCAATGTTACCCAATGGACTAATCCTATTTCTTGGTTCGGCTTCTCTTATCACATCCCTTATAGACTCAAGTGTCATCCGTAAAACATCTATATTATTTTTCATGCTAATACTGTTCGGAACCTGCTTGTTTCCTCCAGATGATTATCCATTTTGACCAATATATCTGGTTCCAAATAGGATTAAACGTGAGTCCTGGACCCCACTGCCACCCGCCGTCCGTCTTTGCTGACAATACATTTAGTGTTCGGTTACAATAATTTTAGATTAAATAATCCTAAAGTTGTCATTTTTTCAGAAACAATTTTTGCGCATCTTCTGTCCTCTAGTGCATGGAATGTGATGATCAAATATTCAGGCAAAACATAATACTATAATACGATTAATATTATAGTTATTATATAATCACAATCATCACAACCATCTAAGCATGAATGCTCTACTGTGTATATTGTGAGGAATAGTTGTTCTTTTTGTGTATAACATGTGATCTTTGCGTTGTTTCTTTTTATCACAATATTCAAGGTAGCTAACATTTTTATTGCTGTTATCTAGGAAAATATCACCCACAAGGAATCAGGAACTATTTCTAGAGAATTAGCGGTCAATCAAAAGTTAACTTCTGACATAAAGCGACTTAAACAGGGTCAAACCTTAAACATGACCCGCATCTGTAAATTGAGTCGTCTGGTGTATCATTTACTTTGTAAACAACGAGAAGTGACTGAGCAGAACAAACAGTTGGGTTCACTATTAAAAATGCAAAGTCGTAGGTATGTTATTGCAGTGTTATCATTCATTATTTTTCTCCTAATCCCATTTAATATGATTACTGGTTGTTTTTAAGTTCGCTTCCATACAAAGTAGTGTTTTTCTATTGTTCTAATTCAAAATGAAAATTCCGTTCGTTATGACACCAGAGATGTATATCATAATTGCCTGGATTATAGTCAGTTACTGTTGTTTAGATTATTCTCCTTATCTCTACCTAAAAATTTTGATAAATTTGTGAATATTCGGCAACATGTAGAAGTAAGACAAATTGTACGTGAGGATTAGAATGGCTTCTTTAGTTTATTAAAAGTCACAAATGAACTGTATTCTATATTCATTCGGTCGGTCACAACGTAGAACCTGGTACGTATGTACATCGATTTAAGGCACCATATCACATCAACACAGAAAGATGAAATTATCAGACCGAATTCCATAGTAGTAGATATAGTAACAGTATCGGTGGTGATTGAGAAGATTAGGCATCAGAGGTTACGACTCAAGAAAACATGAATCAGTGAAACAACAACAAAATCAAAGTCATGGAGAACTCGAGAGCTCAGAATTCGCAGAACAATAAAGAATGGATGTGCCCGTGTTTATGTGGAGCATATGTATTTGGTGCCTCCTTGTACCAATGTTTATATGTTTAAATAAATAAATAAAACTACTCCTACACCACATAACATCGATCGTTAGGGTAGGTGGTTGTTCGGCACACGTAACACATTCGTAGCAGTAGTTGTATGTACGTGGTCATGTGAGAGCATTTTAAGAGGGCTGAATCTCCCCACTCTCAGCCGTACCAGGGCACTTGGGGGCTTTTTGAATCTAACAAATATATGCAAGAAAATTTTACATTCTCTCCCTGGATTAGCTTTTAGGGGAAATGAATTATAACGAGTAGAATTTGTTTATATTCGGCTATCAAGGCAATCCATACATAACAAATATTCCAAATGTCTAAATAGTGATTGATTTTCTCAAAGTAATGTTTTCAACAATTATGTGTGATGCTGAATGATTTGCTATAGGGTTGAATCTTGCCAGAGACTGGAGGTACTCTCAAGTCCTAGCAGTTATGTAACTCAAATAATTGACTTTCTATTGATGGATTTTACAAATTTAAAACTAGTTATGTTACTCTCTACACATGTATCATTCATGTAAGGCACCATATTTTTTTTCCGTACCGTCTTTATGTCACTTAAAGGTAACTAAAATACTTTATAGACACTGAAACAGTTTCGTTGATTCCAGACGAAATTTCTTATTTTTGTTTTCACTCTTATTATTTGTTGATGCTAATTTTCAGAATAAAACAGTTAGAAGCTGTTTGTGGGACAAATACAGTCAACAGTTCAGACGGATTAGAGTCAACATCGTCGTCGTCACCTTCATCGGTTGTTTGCACTTCGTCTTCACCGAGCCACTGCAATCAGTTATCTTCATTTAATGAACAGAATATCTTAAAGTCTGGTAATAAAAGAGTTAAATCTAGTGATGTTCATGTTTGTGACAATGAAATTCATTGTATGGTGCCGTCGAAAGTACTTTTTTTGTCAGAGATTGATTAAATTTTACATCAAAATTACTTCTTATTTCTTCTTTTAAAAAAGTTTGTTTCATTTACGTATTTAGGTAAAAAAAAAACTCAGTAAATGCGATTCACTTTATTTTATTTCATTTTCTTTTCCAGGTAAATTAATTAGTTTCTTTTGTACATTATTTTATTTACCGGAATGTATATATGTTACTTACTTACAATATAGTTATCTTTATTTACGAATATTTTTTCGCTTGTGTACACTGTTATAAGTCATATTCTAATTATACATCAAATCTAAATCATTTTATGAAATAATTAGGAATTGCCATTTATTCTGAGGAATTCGAGACCCATAATGACGTTTAGTTACCCAACTTAAAGGTCTCTAGACGAATGTGAAGATTGTACGATAATGTCGTATCTCAGTAGATTAACATTTAGCATGGTTCTATATTTATTGGCAGTCTGAAATGAATATTACAAATAGGATCAGTTCGACTTAAATTAGTTTTAAATTATATAATCCTGGAAAAATGTCCCCGATATAAGTGAAGAATGTTTCTACCGGTAGGATTCATGGGAGATGATTACGTACAATTAACCATCAAAGGATTGATGTTCCTTTCTCAATAGCACTCCATTTTCTAAGATTGTTTCCATAAGAAAATAATCGTAGAAACTGGAGTACGTTTCTGATTAGTCATAAGTCAAAGGAACAAAGGGTAAGGCGGACATATTTCACACTGTGAAATGTTATTCGCTTTTTTACTGACCACCTTTATTAATATGCGCCTCCATTGGCGTAAACCTTTCCATACGAAGTCGATAAAAGGCTGCACCTAACAATCCATATTTATTTGTTGAAGGCAGTATTTTATGAGAATAGAAGGGTGTGCATGTTAACAGTGCGATGGATGTTTGTCAAAGGACTTTGTTGTCCAAGATAGTAGTTAACTATTTAATTCTCACAGGAAATAATGAAGACACTCCTACGATCTCAAAATAATTAACACGATTAATTCCTGTGCCAAAATCATTATCTTACCAATGTTTAAGAAGATCGCGTTTTTATTCTGTCACTGACTCAATAATGTTTTAATCTTTGCTTTGCATTTTAATTTAACTAATAACTGATAGTCTATTTCTTACCCAATATTAACTTCACTTCATAATTAAAACGGAAGATTTTCAAGTTTCACACGATACTTTTAGTTTAAAAAGCTATGTAATAATCCCAGGTGTAAAAATTGATATTTACTAACCCCAAAAACGTGTAGTATCTACTGCTTAATTAACAATAAGCATTAAAATATATTCTGATATGATTAATCTAATGTGCATAATACTGTAGTGTTTGTTAGTCATAAGTTTTAGCCCATAATATATCTTATTCTAGTTTTCGGACATTCCATTCTATTCATTCTGCTTGAGTCATATTTTGACCTTGTCAATTATTCGCTTATTAGCATTGACTGCTTTTTATATGAGCGTATATATGTGTACACTTCATGTCCCATGACCCATCACATGTCTGTAGTTTGTTTTGTCTGCCTATAAATATTGAGTAATGCCTGGCTTCCCAGCTATCTTCCATGCGTGTCATTTTGCTCTGTTCTATTACATTCACTTTACATACAAAATATATGTATTCAAAGGCCATTCTCGTTATTTGACTTATTTAATTCAGTTATTGGATAACGTGATTTAAGTCGACGATTATATACGAGAATAGGCAATAGCAAACACTCATACGATCTAAATAGGAGTCAGATCCACGGGCCACTAAAATACACAGTTTTTCGATAAACAAACGAAATTCTTTACAGGTAAATCTTAGATCTGTTGATTTACCTAAATTTATTAGTTTTGTGGATTTTTACGACTTGAAGATGGTTTTCATTGTGAATTGACATTAGATGAAGAATCATCGAACACTACGGAGAATAAGAAATAGTGTTTGCACTATTTATAATTTTTTTACTACAACCCAGCTACTTGTATAGCTTAGTATTTTTGGACATTACTTCACTCAACAAGTCCCCAAATCAGAACATGGTTGGATGGAAGTAGGAATCATGGTAAAAACGCTAGTATGCTTATAGTTTTTACATGAGAAGATTCTATTCTTTTCAAAGCATCTTCTAGCGCTGATCGGGTAAATAGCCAATCAGTGTACCCTAATACAATTCTGTACGAAACGTTCTTTAATCCGATCTACATCCCGCTAGCACATTTGAGCGCACGAGATTGACGTCAAAGACCTTAGGGTCTCACAAGAGCATTTAGACCGTTAAGTTTAGGGATTAAGTCTACCTGAGATAAGGGTGATCATTAGTCACCATAATCATTGAATTACTGCTTAAATCTCGATCTGGTTTATTCCATTTGTTACAAATTCCTATTAGAATTCTCGAACCCAGTCACTAGTGGCTATCTCTGTGTCAGTCGCTATGAACAATACGGAAATTCGTTTAGTTCACTATAAAAACATTCTTTTTTCGAATTCGCAAGAAAACTAGTATTGCAGCCTCAAAGCAGTACAACGATGGTTTCGTTCTAAATATTACTTGACAATTTCGGAAAGTTATGCTGGTCGTTTATATAGATACCATTTAAATATGAATAAGTAACCATAACGAAGCAATATATAGAATTCAAGTTCTATTCATGACAGTTTGGATCATATTGTTAACTAAGATAATTTTCCATATCCCTTCAAGCAATTTCTTCAGTGAATTAGGACGCTGTTACTTAATAGTCAATGCAAAAATGAATTAATACAAGAAAATTAACACAAATAGAGGGAATATATAATTTTTACATCGGGTATTGTATCTTATAGGCTTAGCATATATCATGGTAGAAAAGAAAATAAACTTGCGATAGTAAATTCACCATTAAACAATGAACCCTAATATTGTATATATATATACCAGTTTTCATTTGTGATTGCTTAGAATTTCACAAGTAATGCAGTGTGAAAAAATAAACAGTTACAAGAAATTAATCATTCGGATAACGATTTCGGCCTGTTATAAGACGATAAGTACATAACCAACTACTAAATAATACTAGCAGATTAGAAACGGTCATAGTTACAATAGCATGAATAAATTACAACAATTAGTATAATCCAGTACAGATACAAGACTAGACAAAATGTTTGCTACAAATTTTGATTTATCCATGTACAAAGTAACGAAGAGAAAACATGCGAATCCGATAAAATGAACAAATCTAAAAAGTGAAGTAATGAAGACTGAAACAAATTAAGGTATTATGCGTATGTATATGTATACAGGTAATTGAGCCGATTCAAAGTAAGGCAGATAGGCAAGATATTGACAATTAATGATGACGTAATGGAAACTTATGGAAGGATAATTCAATATGAAGCAGCAAAAGTAACACGGTAATGATGAGGAAAATCAAGATCGTACACGTAAATAGTCTCACAATCTGAGAGCGGAACTGATGAGATACCATTAACGTACAAGTTATTATTATTATTACGTGGATGATAGTTTAAGTTATTTGGTACCTTTACTAAACAGTGTTCAGGCGAAGTATTACAGTGTGGTTTTGGAATGATAAGTCGACGAACAGAACCATTTTTAATAATTGCTACATGATCGCCTGGCCGATTGTTCAACTCCATGTCTACAACACGTAGTAAATCAAGACCTGTTTCTGCTGGGGATACACCAGTTGCTAAAGCCATTGTAACATGAGCACGACAACCAGTTGGACGATTCACAGGCATTATACCAATATTATCTATCAGAAAAGAAGTATAAAAATGAAATTTTAACAGTAACATAACAGTAGAAAACTATACAGATTAAAATCATCAGAATTACTCATACGTCGGAGTACAGAACTTATGGGATACAATTAAAAATTTACTACTGACTAAGATAGTATTAGGGTTGTGCTAAGTACATCTGCAGTTATCAAATATAAATTGACAATTGGTTAGTCTAGCCCAGATTGGTGCGACTTTACAAAACTCAACATAACCAGTTACAAGTCTAGAGTGAATATATTTGTAATGGTAATCAAATTAAGAATATTTATCAATTCTCTGCGCATAGTATTTAGCTATTTCATCAATCGCTTCGCCAAGTTGTGTGTACATGATCGACTTGCCGATGATATAGAACTTGGTGCGTAATTAGATTTATGAATCGTCAAGTTATCCATAAGACGCTTGGATTCTGGATACGACAGGTGTCAAAGCACCGAAAATGTCTTTGATAAAGACATTTATAATGCATACTTTTACAAGTCAGCAAGGTAAATCGAAATTAAAAACTGGGAATATATATGAATTGGTTAAGTTTGTCATATATCAGCACAGCGAGGTGAAATTATCAATATAAGCACCAAAGTTGAAGTAGTGACAGCATTGGAGGATAGTAGGTAAAAATATGAATATACAATAAACTTTGAGAGGTGAGAATGAATTCGTGGGATAAAAAAGATAATTTCGGAACTAACGACTTAGCGGAAAAATATACGGTCAAGGTATCTATACCACTGTGAGCGGTTTTGAGCAATGTCATACAATATCTTAAACAATCAGTTATGGAAGTCGAATGGGTCACAACCAGGTAGTTTGAACTTATTAATATATCTTAGTTGAACTGCCAATGACTTCACAGACTGAACCCAAGTTTCGGTCTGGCTTCTACTGGCTTCCTTACAACATGCTTTCACATCGGCCAATATGACGCATCGAGATAGGCGGTGGATATGTATACGCAATATATGTCCCATTCACCTCAGGCAGTGAAAGCTTACTGCCTCATCAACCTCATTGTCACCTAGATTCTTTCACAAAACTAGAGATTACCTTATTTAGCAGTTCTCTAACATCAAACGGAACATCTGCCATGAACTTGTTCTCACTATGAAGACAAGTACGTGATAAATTTATCACCGATAGAATTCTGTTCTCAGGGAAGAATTTTTACTTTAAACTTCCCTATCCCCTTATGCCAAAAGTTCTGATTTATAATTTGAAAGTTTCTGTAACAAAATGACTTTTTGTTACAACCATGAGCATACTTACGCCTGTAACTCCTCATGTAGGAGCATAGGCCGCCCACAAGCACTCTACATCCTACCCTGTCCTGTGCAATCCTTTTCAGTTGTTATTCATTCAACCATACAACCATGAGAGGTACATAGGATTCGGTGATGGAGAAATAAGTCCCAGTCGACCACTAATTTT